TGAAGAAGGCTAGTACAAACTTGGAGCTTCTCCTTGGTCGGCTTTACTTTGGTCAATTTCCTTGAACAAACAGCAGTACATGTATTTAAATGTAAACATGACCTGTACCTTAAAGACTATTGTATCAGTACAGATAAATGAACCTATACCTAACTTGTCACTAAAACTTCATACTTAATTACACAAATGAGTCTTTCACAATATTCTGTTAATAAAACATCTACTCCAAGAGAGTATCACCTAAGTCAGCATAAAGAACTGTTGTAAGCAGTAAATTAAAATCAGTCACATTCAAATACAAAGTCATCAAGAAGCATGCTTCATATGAAAAATTAAAAAGTTAAGATATACTAATTAGATTTCTTCTGCAGTGAAATGATACAGAGAGATATATAAGGCAAGAGACAACCACCTAATTGGATAATCTCATGGTCCCGTGCAGCCTTAATATATTGAGGGGAGGGGAGAGAGTCAAAAGTAGCCCATTCTTCTTCAAGGTATGAACACACAAAAGAAAAGCCAATTTTGAGGGAGGACCCAATTATTTTGGCTCAATCAGATGGCTCTCTCTAAAATACAACAGACTGGAATTTCATATCCAATTACTGATCACTAAATATACTACTGGAGTTCTGGTGTGGCACTACAGCATAAGCACTTGACTGCTAACCACAAAGTCAGTGGTTCAAACCCACCCGCTGCTTCTTGTAAACTATAGGGTAGCTGTGAGTCAGAATCAACTCAAGACACTTAACAACAAAACAAATTTATCAACATTTTAATTTTCTCTGCTTAAAGATATCCAAGAGAGGCTAAATATATTGTCAACAAGGACCAGTCGCTGGAGAAGGATATAATGTTTGGTAAGGTGGAGGGTCAGAGAAAAAGAGGAAGACCCCCAATGAGATGGAATGGCCAAGTGGCAACACTGATGGACTCAAGTGTGACAACAGTAATGAGGCTGGCCTAGGATCGGGCAGTGTTTTGTTCTGCTGTGCATAAGGTCACTATGAGTTGGTACCAACTTGATGGCACCTAACAACAAAAACAAATATGTTAACAGTGAAGGGATCATTCAAAAAGTAGAATGATATGGTTGCACAATTTAGAAAATTAGTATCATTGTACATGTAGAAATTGCTGGACTAGTGTTAGTTTGCTTTGCAGATTTTTAACACAAACATCAAAAATAAAATAATTTAAAAATCTGAACAAATTAATTTCTGGCAAGTGAGGTTTTACAAAAACAAAAAATCATCACTGATAAATCTTATACTGAGTCACTAAAACACTACAAGCTCAAGATCCCTATCTACTAAAACTTAGGGGCATATTAACTGAACACTGGGATTTGATATTTGATTAATAAAACAGCTCAGTATCTAATTTTTGGAAACCAAATATGAATAGATGTATGCAACTCTCTATATTTTTTTAAGTTTACTATTTTTTTTGGGGGGGGGGTTATTTTTTAGATAGTAGCAAGCAGCACTCACAACTTTTTATTTTTTTTAAAAAATATGGGGATGAGGAAAGATTATATGTGCAGTTTAGTATTTATATTACTATTTTAAATTTTAATGTAAAAACTATCTAGCTACTTTGACACATAAAAAGGTTAAAAATAACCTCTAAACATAACTGAATTCCACAGACATAGCAATATAAATAACTTAAAGGAAGTATTATTGTTAAGTGCAGTCAAGTCGGTTCCTACCCATAGCGACCCTGTATAGGGTTTCCAAGGAGCAGCTGATGAGTTTGAACAGCTTTGCAGTCTGGCACATTAACCAACAGCAACACACCAGGACTTCTATGAAAGGGAGTATAATGTAGTGAATTATCTAAAGTCTCTTCTAGACATAATCTGTAATGCCCACCATACATTTCTTCTATCTTGCTGGGTCTAGGTAAGAGAAGGTGAGAGAAGATACTAAGAAGAGGACATGATTCAGCTGTGGGTGTTAGCAGAGGTAACTGTAATTTCAACAACGTGAAACTGGTAGCATGGGTATAAAATGAATGATCTCAGGAACAAGAGAGGGGATTACACCACCATCACAGTAGAACCAAGAGTGGAGTGCATCATTTGGATTCCGAGGTCCGTGTACTTTGAACCTCCTTGATCCAAGGACCAAAAGCTGTGATATCTGAGAAGTAGCAGAAAAGCAGCAGCAACAAAACCAGGAACCAGACGGTAAGACAAAGCAGTAAAGCTGAGTGACTCTGAGCAGGAAACTAACTTGTAGAGTGGGGTGCCTCAAGGAACTTAATTGGGGGAGCTAGGTTTGCTAACCCACAAAGCTAGAGAGAGTGTCCTATGGGCATTTGTCAGCAGCTGACTGAACAAGAGTACTTTATGCATGATCTCGTTAACTTCCCTAATAAACTCTGCAACTATGAGTATGGTGTCTGAGTTCTGTATGGCTATTCCAATGGATTATCCCAATAGAGAAGCAGAGTGTCATGTGAGGAATGATTTGATATGCCACATATTTTTTCAGGGAGAAATGAAGTTTCTATGCTATAATTGTTTTGTTTTGCTTTTTCCAATATGATTAGAGTTTGATGAGGAGATTAAAAAAAAAAAAAAGTATTTAGATCATGTTAAATACTGTTCTAGTAAAATTATCATCTTTAAACAATTAGAAGCATAAAATCTTCTAGGATTAGTAATTTTTTCCCTTATGTATTTCTGTTCCATTTTGACAGTTTAACACTTGGGCTAAAAAGAAGTACAAAAAAGATTTTTTTTAAATCATTAATATTGTATCATCAAAATCAGATGTTCCAAGCAACTACTACTCTTACTTCAACCTCATAGGACAAAACCAAATCAAGATGTATTGCTCTATGTTCTACCAAGTTTTCCAATTCTCATGTACATTTTACCATTCAGAAAGTTTAAGCCTATATACAAAAGACTGGGATGTAAAAATAAATGAAATGTCTTTTCTCATTTTTTCATCCTTTATAGTTTAACAAACAATGTCCTTCAAAGATCACAACTTTTTTTTTTTGCTAAAATGTAATATCCTTAAGAATCTCATAATTTGTAATAAACTAGTTTTATGAATAAACATTCAGGGATTAACACGGGGGGGGGGGGTTCCTTTTCATTTACATAGTAATACTAAGACTTCTGCCTATCCTATAAAGTACATGTAGTTGTAATGGTTACATGATACATCAGACCAATAAAATTTGGGCTATAACTTCATTCTTTTACAAACCAGTAAAAGTGGAAAACATTCTCTCTTGTTGGCAATGTTGTAACTCCACTTGGAAAACCCAAGACTTCTCCCACACTTAACAGAAGCTCAGTGATCTTCTATTAGAGCCAGTGATTCAATACATAGTTGTTACATCAAATGACAAAACAGTGTCATACTATCACTCCAACCTATTTTGGTAGTATATATATGCAAGTGACCTCATGCACTGGCTTGCAAAAAGCACATCTGTAATGACCAGAAAATCTACTTGTCTACAATGAAAACTCCAACATATATGGGGGAAAAAGGATTATATTACCAAAGTTGCATTCATAAACACTGAGCTGGATTTTGCTGTGAAAATGCCATAAATGAACCTAATTCTTTAACAGGCCACCTGAAAGTTGAGTTTTAATCTGACATCAGATGTTAAAGCACTAGACTAACTAGGTCGGCAGTTCAAACACACCAGCAGCTCCTTGGAAACCCTATACAAGGTCACTATGAGTCAGAACCGACACAACAGCACTTAACAAGAACAAAATTTTACTACTTACTAGTTTGCTGCTTAATAGTTAGTCAAACACTCATACATTTAGTCCAATAAGACAAATGTTTACTTATCAAGTATGGATAATGAAAAAATTGTTGACACAATAAACTGTGACCGGGCAAACATTTCTTTAAAGAAATTTCAAATGTTAGTAAAACTGATTAAAATGTTAAGGATTCATACACATTTATAAGCTAAAAAAAAGATCAATATAATAATCTAAATAGCAATACAACCGTATCCACTCACTTAAAACATGGTTAAAGTTTTTCAGCCACTTTGGTATTGTGTATTTCAACAGTAATGGCAGGCTGCTAGGAGATAAGTTGTTTAATACATTACTTGTGCTTACAATGTGACATTAATTTTGGGGAATTATACTATTAGCGTAGTGGTTACAAATTGGGCTGGCAATTGTAAGGTCAGCAGTTTGAAACTACTAGCTGTTTCGTGGAAGAAAGATGAGGCTTTCTGCTCCCATAAAGATTTACAGCCTTGGAAACCCTGTACAGAGTTGCTGAGTCGGAATTGACTCCATGGCACATAACAACAACAACTATTTAAAACAAATCTAGGCAAAATTGAAAATTATGACAAATATGTTGGTCTACTTCACCTTGCCTTGCCTAATTTGCTTAGTTCTTTATTCACTGGTTAATAAAAATTATGTATACTAACACACAGTTGAATACGTTCCTAAGAAAACATAGCTCAATACTGACTAATCGGACTTTCCATCTAAACCAGTTCTGACAAGATCCAGGGAAAATGATCAATTATTATTCACAAATGAGTATGGGTTGTCATTTAGTAGGACTGTAAATACTAATCCTAGTACTCAGTGTCTCCAATTAAAGTCAGCATCAAGTATAATGCAGAACCACTCTAAAAACTCAAGGCTGTACCAATCCCTAAATGTTCCCAAGAAAAAATATCAGAACCTTAGAGCATATTGTTACTCATTTATGACAGTCCCACTGTATTACTAGAAGTATAATTTCTTCGAAAAAACATATTCAAAAAAAAAAAAAATTAAAATCCAACTTACAATATGCCCTAATTTTATTTCAATCTATCAAATTTGTGAACATTAAAAGAAAAAAATGATCTGATTTTTAAAACTCCTATGTAAAAATAATTGCAAATTACTTTCAGAAAAAAACCTAACTGGCAATTATAAATCAATAAAATTAATGAAAACAGGAGTGGAAAAAAGAAATGGCAAAACCAACCCCTCCTCGCTGACCATCTACATGTATGGAACGGATGTGATCTGCCAGATCTGGACTAGAGTTGAAGCAAGCCTGGCACTGGTCCCAACAACAATTATAGGCAATATTTTTGCTTGAAGAAGTAGTGCTTCCTTGTCCATTCATCATTGCTGGAGTTGAGCGCCCACTGGAAATTGTGCTGTCGACATCCATTATAGTACTGCTTATGCTACAAAAGAAGAAAAAAGTCTGTGTTATTCCTAGAATTCACTAACACGATCTTATAAATACTTAATTAAGATTACCACCTGATTTAAACCTTAAACCAAAAATATTTCCTAAAGCCTTCTTAAAAACCAAATAATAGTTTAGTTTAACTAGTAAAGAGCCTTGAACATTATGCTTTTAAGGTACTTCTATATGGTATCCAATTGACAACAGTAACTTGAAAGATAAGAACCTTAGGAGGCAAACAAAACCAAACACAACAAACACACACAAGACAGATAAGTTTGCCACATCCCTCCCACAGTTCTAAAGAGACATGATAAAGTAGGTAGTTTCCAAGCATAAGTAATTCAGAATCAAAATTATCTTTATAGCTCTGAAAATCATCTGACCTGAAATCTTTTATTCATTAATCAGATAATGCAATTGCATTAACAGCCTACCTCTTTTCATCTCAAAGAAGTTAAGAATGTTTTCCCTTCTAATATAACAAAGCAAAATACAGAAAACATAAATGTAATAAAAATCTGATTTTATCAAAAGTTCAAATGAAAAGTCTTTTTCTGGCCCTCAGTTTGAAAAAAAAAAATCTCTATCCACCTATAAAGATTGAATGTCAATCAAAACGTTTTACATTATTTACAAACAATAGTGGAGTCCTGGTGCGGCACTGTAGGATAAGCACTGGACTGCTATGTCATTTTGAACTACAAGGTTCAAAACTCAAAGGCCAATTATCAACCACCAAGTCAACCTGGAGATCCACAGCAACTACATTTACCTTCCTGTGTCTTATTACTCTGACTGTAATGATGTGGCTTCTAAGAATTCTGTCAAATATTTTCTTTATCAGTCTCATAAAAGCATGCCGAGAAAACTGATGAAGTTGAAGACCCAACAAATTAGCTGAATATTCTCTTAGGTTATCAAGAAACCACACCATGATAAGCAAGCTAAATGAAATGGGGTAAGAATTACACTTGGGGAAAAAAAAAAAAAAAACGTGAACCAGTCTGCTGGAACTGTACAAACTGGCCACTGATAAAAGGTATTAAAAAGACCTATTTGTGTGACTTCACTATGACTCATTACCTAAAAAATGAGCAAGTGAAAGCTATTAAAGAATTGAGGGAATGCATAACCAATCAGCACAAGACAGAGACACCCCTTCTCCCCCTCCTAGAATTTGGCCTGGCAGTTATCACTTTGACTAGCACACCCTGAGAGATAATAATTACAAGAGTTAAGCTCCAGCCTGGTTTCCCCACAGCCACAGGAGTGACTTCTTCATTGGTCGCCTAAACAGTGCATGCATGTTAGCTTTACCTTTTCTATAAATTTTAATCAAAACATCCACCTAAGTTCCTTCATCTACATCATTCCTTCAATAAAGCAATGTTGTTTCCAAACACACAAAAAAAAAATAATACATTTTTAAAGTATTATTTATTAGTAACATGCAATCATTTACAATTTCTAAATAAATGGTGTTAAAAGATCTGCTTTAATTTTTAATACTTTAAACTGTTGTTTAGTGTTATTATTTCCAACCCATATTGACCCTATTTCTAAGGAGTGGTTGGTGGGTTTAAAATACCAGCCTTGAGAATAGCAGTCCAGTGCTTATCCTACAGTGCCATTCAAGGACTTTGTTGTTATGCCGGTGAGTTGGTTCTGACTCATAGCGACCTTGTATAGGGTTTTCCAAGGAGCAGCTAGTTGTGGTAAATATAACCCAAGTAAGCAAAAGCTCTCTGGGTTCCTCAATACTTTCTGAATTTTAGTTTTAATCTGAAGGGGTCCTTATTTTAAGGATTCCCAGTGTGGTGCTGTAGGATAAGCACTGGACTGTTACCCGTAAGGTTGGCAGTTCAAACAAACCAGCCACTTCTTGGCAATCCTATACAGGGTCGCTATGAGTTGGAACCAACTCCATGACATGCAACAAGACAAAAAAGCTTTTTAAGTGCTTCCCGTAAACAGATTAGAAAAGATAAATCTAACCTAGGATTATTTTATTTTATATTCAAGACCAAAAAGCTTAAACGCTTTTGTAAACAGAATAGAAAAGTATTTCTGACTTGAGATATTTTTATTTTACCTTGGGATTAACTGCTGAGTTTGAAATTCAGTCTGGGGTTAAATGGAGAAGAGTAGCTTATCTACAGTCTTTCTTTAGTGAAGCAGTAATTTATGATGTGGACTTCCTTAGAATTTTGGGTCCTTCTCTTCTTCCCTCACCTCTTAATGTGTGGCACTGTTGGATAGCAATTAACTGCTAACAACAAGGTCGGCAGTTCAAACCCACCAGTCACTCCTTGGGAACCCTATACAGGGTTCTCTAGGAGTCAGAACCAACCCGACAGCACTTAACAAAAAGCCACTTAACTGTCTAAATTTAAAGGAAGGCTGAGTACTGGAACCTCGAAAATTAAATTTATTCTTGATGCTCAAAAAATTATCTTATAAATATGTCATTGATTAGGAAGTCTACAGTGGTGTTTCCCTGACCTTAGTTTTGTTGTTATTGTTAAGTGTCCTTGAATTGGTTCATAGCAAACCCTGAATAGGTTTTCCAAGAAGCAGCTGGTAGGTTTGAACCAACCTTTGGTTAGCAATCCAATGCTTATCCTATAGCACACCAGGACCTTGCCATGTTCTCCCCTTTCATCAGGGACTAGGGTCAGTGTATGCTAACAAATTAAAATGTCAATATGAAACCAAATTAGTTTTACTACTTGAGTTTGAGGTTCTGCTCACTTTTGTCTTAATGCTATGAAAACAATTAAGATCATTAAGGAACGGTATCTTTCAAACAATATTTCCAAACCAAATCAGTAGAATTAAGGTTACATGGAGATTATAATAAAAGCTGCCTGTACCTGCAATCAGATTTCAAAACTAAGTAGCCGAATCAGGAAATATAAATTGGATGCTCATACTAGCGTAAGCCTGTCATTCACAAACTCCCACTTCAAATTTTTCTTAAAAAAAAAAAAAACTTAACTATTTTAACTTTACAAACTATTGCTAAACATTTGAATTTTTAAAGCAAATTCTAATAAAACATTTTTATATGTTACATATTCAATTCACATATAAAAATTCATCTGGATTATATTCCTGAGTGTTTTTGTGTACTTTAAAAAGAAAAAGGGGAATAGAAGCAAATACTGTTGAATGATGATGCATGACACAGACTATAATCATTGCAATAAACTAAATATGATAGGATGAGTACAAAACCAATGTTATCCTATGTAAACTACCACTCAACTCACAATAAAAGCTTAAAAAGAAAAATTAGCCAGCTAGGAAGGGGACGGTAATCAATTAAATGAAACAAGGTGTAGTTTGCTGAATGCAAGCAGAGCTGATGATCGTGTCTGTAAACCTTCACCCAAATCAGTTAAAAAAAATTTTTTTTAATTCATCGGGGAAAAGTTTCATCTACTACTCAAAATTTGCTTTTTTAGTAATTTTCTTAATAGACATGAAAATTATTTTTTATCCAAAGGGAGAAAATAAAATTTCAAAATCTCAAGGAGTCCACATTTTCTGGAGCTATGGAAGCTGGATGAACTCCCCTAAAACTATTGTTCTGAGATAATCTTTACCCTTTAAAAGCAAAAATAATCCTCTGAAGTCTTCTTAAAACCACAGAGAAATTTAGCTTAATTAGTAAAGAATGTCTGCCTTGAGAATTATTCATCTTGCTTTCGTGCCCCTTCCTGCCTTCTGAGCTCTGTTTTTGGGCAAACGATGCCCTCGTAGGTTCCTATCACTTATCTTCCTGAGTAGTATGACCTACCTGGAGTCCAGGTGTTGACGCTGTGGGTTAATGCGCCAGACTGCAAACCTGTTTGAACTGCAAGGTCGGTGGTTTAAGCTCACCAGCCGCTCCTCGGGAACCCTATACTGAGTCACTATGGGTCGGAACCTACTCAATGGCACTTCACAACAACAATGATCCTCCCTCGTGTTATTATTCACTCTATTGTGATCCTGACCAGAGTGGTCAGTAGTAGTTAGCCGGGCACAATCTAGTTCTTCTGGTCTCAGGGTAATGGAGACTGTGACTCACATGGTCCATTATCTTCTATAGTGACTCCTTGAGTCTTTATTACTTTTTCTTCTAATTGCTTCTCTAACACCCTATACAGACTAGACAACACTTATTAACAACAGTGAAAGAGAATGTACTCTTAAAGTTAGGAACCAAGGAAATCACTTTCTTGATAGTAGACAACTGTTACTTTTGATGATGGGAGATAAGACCAAATATAGATGAAGTCGGCACAACGTGACTAAGGTAAATAAAGACACTAAATACTACATAAGAAAAAGGGGCAATTTCAGTAAATGTTGTAACATACAATTTTTTTTTTTTTTGGTAACATACAATTTTGCAACAGCAAAAACAACTAAATAACAGATGTGGTTACACAGGTAGATATAGATGAATATGTGTATAAAAAAGCATATGCAAATAAATGAAGTACATGTATAGATGTTATCTACAGACATATGTATGCCTGAAGATGTTTGTATGTGTTGCATATACAGCCACACATATGAGAGTGCTTCAAAAAGCGTGTGTAAAAATGAAATTTAAAAATAATGGGATTTTTCCATGAACATTTTTGAAATCCCCTTTTATGACAAACCACATAGGGAAAGTTACTGAGGCACATTTCTAGACATAGCCAAACAACTCATGGCATTTACTATAATTCTCAAAGATAATATTCTACATCCAAGTTTGGTGAGTCACATCTGAGGTCTTAAAAGCTAACAAGCAGCCATCTAAGATACAATTATTAATCTGTATTCATAAAGACCAAAAAACAACGAAGAAAATCAGATTCAAAGAACTAATTACAATTAGCCTACCAGGAGAAAGGTGGGGCTTTCTGCTCCCATAAATATTTACAGCCTAAGAAACCCTATACAAGTCACTATGAACCAGAACTGGCTCAAAGCATACCACCAACAGCATGA